GAAGATAATTAACTGATGAGAGATCTTTAACATCGTTTTACTTTACTATGACATGTGTAGATCTTGTTTACAAAAAAGTGTATGGTTGAATCTCATGAAAGCCATTAAACAAACATGTTAGTTCTCAGAACGTTCTGGGAACCAAAAACTACCGTTCCCAAAACCTACATTTGTTTGCTTATATGGTATATTAGCTGTTAACTTTGCAATCAAGCAAATAATGCAAATAATTTCCTAAAGCATGTTAGTTCTCAGAACGTTCTGGGAACCAAAAACTACCGTTCCCAGAACGTTCCCAAAACCTACATTTGTTTGCTTGGACATACCATATATGTGGTATATTAGCTGTCAACTTTGCAATCAAGCAAATAATGCAAATTAATTCCTAAAGCTCATGAGATTGCATCATGAACATGTTTTACGTCACACAGTTATATAATTCAAGAGTTTGAGCATCTACAATGGCCACGTTTGACCCATTAACACAAATTTCGGTCCCACTTTATATTAAGTGGCTTTAAGTACCATGTACTTACATTGAAATGAATGATTTGATACAATGGACTTATTGTGTACATACATGTTTTTACATTGTACTTATATTTTAAAAATACCAGCATGTAATTACAGCTGTAATTACACAGCTGACCTATCCCTTACACTTAAACCCACCCTTAAACCTACCCATACCACCACACCTGTCCCTAACCTTACCCGTATCACACCTCAATAGCAGCAAAAGTGATTTACAATACAACATGAGCACAATAAGTACATTGTACTTATTTTTAAATGTAAGTACATGGTACTTAAAGCCACTTAATATAAAGTGGGACCCAAATTTCAGTTCTCTGTTTGCGATCAGATCATTTTAAGCCGCTGGACTTCGGAAACATTTTCAGTCCAATGATCCAGTAAGCAAATGAATTCAAACAATCAGTCCAAAACAACCCGGTCTCATCCCAAATCGTCATATAACTGACGTTTTGGGACGTCTTTTGACCATACGTCAATATTCGCCTTTTTAGGGCCCCCTTAAACGTCGGTAGATGAGGTTATGGGATCCTAACTCTACCCCAGACCTAAACTTAACCCTAAACCTAACCTGTCACCTAACTGACGTTAAAGGTAAAGCGTCAGTTGTATGACGGCCCGGGATCGCCATCTACCGACGTTTAAGGGGGCCCTAAAAAGGCGGATATTGACGTATGGTCAAAATACGTCCCAAAACGTCAGTTATATGACGATTTGGGATGAGACTGTGTTATCCAAAACAGTGCTAATGTACAGAAAACACCCCATCGCTGGATGGCCAGATTATAAGCAAACTACGTTGCTCGACTGGATAAAGCAAACCAGCGTCGGCCTCACTAGTGAAATTTTGATGGATGAGGATTGCAATGAAGTTTAAGATGATGATTGCTGTGACGTACAGAAATACAATAAGCAGCAGAACCTGATTTCACAAAGTACATGTTCCTGGATCAACATCTTTCTTGATCCTGAACAACATTCCAATCAACCAATCAGGTTTGAGGGACAAGTTTACAGTCTCTGTCAAGTTTAGGTTTACAATCAGGTTTGGGAACTTCACCAGTGTTTCCCTCTTACTCACGGGTAGGGTAGGGATACGACTAAATATTTGTATAGGAATGTTGTTTCTGGATCAACAAAATACTGTAAGATGTTGACCCAGGTACAACTCGGCAAAATCAGGACGTATGGGGTAGCAGGCTGTTAAAAACTGTTTATTGCATCTGTTGAACAAATACAGTTTGATAATTTGTTATAGATCTTGTCTTTTTGACTCTCCAAGACAATCACTCACAAATAAATGCTGCTTTAAAATGAGTTACTTTAAATGGATACTACTGAGTTAAAGTAACAAGAACTAATTGGATGGAACCACCGTCCATAATTTAAATGAGTTATTAGAAACAAATCTCCTTGTGTTTGTTGAATGTAACCTATTTGGACAGTTTTAAATAAACCACTTCATGTTCACTTAACTTCACCAACTTAAGTTACAGGGAAGCAATTCCATTGATTTGGTTTAACATTACTATTTCACATAGATTCTCCCCCATTCAGTTGTGTTGTCCCACCACAAGGAGTTTACATGGATTCAAACAATTCCATTAATGTTGATAAAAAGCAATTTTCTTGTGTGGAACCACTGTCCATAATTAAATTAAGTAAGTTTAAAGAATCATTTTTTTGAGTGCAGTAAGTCTTGATGCGCAAACAAACCGTGTGTAACTCGGTTACTCGAGTTAAGTAATCAGATTACTTTTTTCAAGTAACATTAAGTAATGCATTAATTTTAAATTCACAACAAAATATCGGTTACTTTTTCAAATAAGCACTGAAATTACTTTGTTTTCCCATGTATTGACTGACAGCTGTCCTGTCCTCATGCTGAGAGAAATCGTGAGAACAGAAGCGTTGTGTGTGAACTTATTGTAGTTCCAGACTAAATGTGGGCGTGCATTTACTCATTTGCACACAAAAAAAGATTCAGCATTCCTCAAAAGTAATAAAATCAGTGAAATGCAAAATTAAAATACTATGCAAACCTCCAATAATTTTTAATGCATTTAATCTTATTTTATTTTGGGTAAAAAACAGTAAATAACTAAATCACGGGTCCTAAATCAAACTAATCCAAAATCCGAATTAATATTACTACTTATTTGAGTAAAATGTAACTACATGACCTCAAAATTGTGTAATATTTTTTTTTTATGGGTGCTTTGGTGTGCATACACTCTAAAAAATGCTGGGTTTTTTTAACCCAATTTTGGGTCAAATATGGACAAACCCAGCCGTTGGGTTACATTTTGCACCCAATGTTTGAGTTTGTCCATATTTGACCCAAAATTGGGTTAAAACAACTTAAAACCACATTTTTTAGAGTGTACATTTATGAACTATATGGTTATATCATTTTCTACTCTATCATTTTTTCTTCTTTTTGACACCAACATTTACCTTGAAAAACGCTTTGAGAAAATACAGATTTGTGAGAATCACTCTTCAATCTGATGGTTTACTTAGCTGGATATAGCAAATGATGACAAAATGAACATGAGCTTGGCACGTTTAGACAATCATCAACTCATGTATTATCACTGTGAACAGTTTATGATGACCATGGAAAGACTCTGACCTTTGCAATGTTTGCTCTCTTTACAGTCTTTAAATGTTTAAACCTGCAAAACAGGTGACGAGTTTCGTGCAAAAGCAGTCGACGTGCTCAATTTACAATATACGGTTGAACGTCAATACACTATATTGCTGACAATGACTCAACAAAGGTTAAAGTGACAAGATAGATATTTAGAGTAGACAACTTTACTGAACCAATTAAATCAATACACTATAGTCAAATGTCTGACATAAGATGGACATTATTGATAATATAACAGTGACAAGCATCTGCAAAACGTGGTGTCAGCTGATATTGCGGAAGATTTTGACATAAAGTCAAAAGATTTTCTTCAAAACAAACCCAAATGTACTGAATTACTCCAGTAATATAATTTGTTTCCTCCATAACAAAGAGTTTTTGTCTCTGAACACACTTCAGCACTTCCTCATAACTGCATGTGAACTCCCCATGAAGCCTTTCACACAAACTCCAAGGAACATGAGACATTTATCTGATATGCAAATATATAATTCTGTTTAAGAGGTGCTTTTACAGAAACGCCCCACAGGTCTGTAATTGTTTGTATTGAGTAGCGCATTGAAAGTAAAGTCAAATCCTTCAAAGTTATTGTTAAATGTTTTGCTTTGAACACTGAAAGAAATGAACGACACAAGAGCTTTAAAGCAAATATTTAGTAAATATTCAGTCGCATTCAATGACCATTTCGCAATACATGAGATGCACGTTCATTTGATGTAAAACATTACGACAAGGTATTTTTAAAATACATTTCATATTCAAGTGATTACATGCTTAATTTTTTCCTGTTAATCGGATCATTTTAGGTCAGCACCATTTCGTCGAAGATTTTTCAGTCTGATTGAGCATTCAACCTGATTGTAAACGGACACGAAACGTAGCTATTGAAAATCCGGTTTACCTCCTGAACAGGTTTTGAGCATAATTTAATGCTGACTTTCACGTTATTCAGTTCAGGGCAACAAATACTGTTGAAACAGTCACCATTAGGTTTGCCCACAATTTTGACTCATGCATTATGCATTATGAATTAATTGAATAAGTTAAAACATGGACATGTGGAAAAATGAAACGGGAAAACACTTGTGAATACGGTAATGCTACAGTAACACTTTATTTTGATGGTCCCTTTTGACTATAAGTAAGTTTGCAATTACATGTCAACTAACTCTCATTAGAGTATTAGAAGACTGTCTGCTTTGTATGCTTTTAAAAAAACTTTTGCTGATAATTTACTCACTCCCATATCATCCAAGATATCCTCGTCTTTCTTTTTTCAGTCGAAAAGAAATTAAGGTTTTTGATTTTCAAAAAAAAAAATAAAAAAATTTCCAGGATTTTTTCTCCATATAATGGACTTGAATGGGGTCCAAACGGTTCAAGGTCCAAATGAGAGTTTCAGTGCAAACTGTTCAAAGGGCTTTAAACAATTTCAGACGATGAATAAGGGTCTTATCAAGCGAAACGATCGCACATTTAAAAAACAAACAAACAAAGTTTAAGTTTTATGCGTTCGTGACTCTCCTGTTCGAATATTTTTTCGAGTCAATTTGTTCATTTTGTTCGTTGAATGAACCTCACGAACGCGCATCACAGAACAGAGCAAGGCAAGCATTTGTGCTTATAAATATTCACTTTTTTTTTTAATGACCGATTGTTTGCTAGATAAGACCCTTATTCATCGTCTGGTGTCGTTTAAAGCCCTTTAAAGCTGCACTGAAACTCTCTTTTGGACCGTTTGGACCCCATTGAAGTCCATTATATGGAGAAAAATCCTGGAATGTTTTCATCAAAAACCTTCATTTCTTTTCGACGGAAGAAAGAATGACATGGACATCTTGGATGACATGGGGGTGAGTAAATTATCAGCAAAAGTTTTTTTACTCCTTTAATATCAGCTAACTCTTCTCCAACACACATTATACTGACTATAAGTAACTTTGCAACTACATGTCAACTTATTCTATCCCTAACCCTACCAAGTCTACCCAATCTAGTGAGTGTTAAAAGAGATGTAGGTGCAAAATTACTTATAGTCAAGTGAATGTGTTAAAGGGACCATCCAAATAAAGTGAAACCAAATAATCTTAGTTTCAGTCAAAGTGCACAATCAGTTTGTAAACACTCATTGCTTTTGCAACGAGCTGGAGAAATCCAACAGAAGATGTTCTGTCACCTGTAGATGACCATCAAACATCTCTTACTGAAGAGAAAAGCAAGACGCTTCGCCGGTTAATTGCAAGACAAAGACAATCCCGTCCATCTGTCCAAAATAACCAGGCCAACTCTAGGTTCCTCTCCATCTCTGAAGTCCTCCTCGGGTTCAGTTACGTCCTGCGGGTGGTCTGTCCTCTGAATATAAGTCCTCTGGTCTTGTTTTCCCTCCAGAGGAATCCCCGGCAGCCAGTTCTGCCTGTAGTTTGACGTCACCTGCACGTCAGGAACATGTACAGGCAGATAGTCTGAGTCACTTAATAAAGGCGCTTGTTCTCCAGTTAAACCTTCTGATTCCTGATCCGCATCTGGAGAACTTAGATCAGCGTCAAACTGAAATAAGCAGCCATGAAACTGCAGCGCACCATTTTCAGTGGGCCTAACTGGTACCACCAGTGTCTCGCTGTTGCATTCAGTGTCTGAAATGCTCAAAACGGGCTCCGCACCAATCGAATCCGAGCTGGTCCGATCTGCTCTGCCATCGGATGATGGTTTGTTGAAGCTCTGGACGGGCAAACAGAGGCTGTAATGCACTGAAGACTCTCTGCTGTCAGGGACTGGGACGTCCCGTTGACATCTGTAGGGCTCCTGGGATGCATAGGCGGTCACATTAACCCCGATCTCGGACTTCTGCTGGGCAAAATTAGGCTGTCTATCATAGTTCCCCATCCCAACAAATCCAGACCACACTTCCAATTTAGATATGTCGTCCCGGGGATTTGAAAAAAATGGACGACTGGTGTTCTTTGACAGCATCTGATTTACAGAGAGAAGAGAAAAGGTATAATTATTTATTTCATTGAAATTGATATGTTCTAAACTGAAATATTTTTTTTTTGTGTGTGTCAAATTAACCCACTTCCTTAATTGTGTCACTTCCCACAGGTGGGACGCTTGCCATTATATTTTTAAAACAATAATATCTTAGAAAAGACTTTAAGCAATATTGACAAACTATATATCATTTGAAAGCTTAATTACAATCTCTAGTTTCCATATTTGGTGACTGATTTTCAATTATCAATTTGCAACAAGAATATTTTCATACTCGTAAAGCGTGTTCAGACCTTTATTTTGAAATAGCAATGAACATGAAATGGAGGTGCCTTTATATAGGCAGTAATGGAGTCTGGTTGTGCCCTAGTGGAAGCGTTTGGTACTGCGCCCAAACAAAATCTCAAAGAAAGCTAATTTTTTTGAGATTTTAACCTAAAATTTGAAAGACAACTTTTTTTGGCTTTGATTTTTCTGCAGTTTTAGAGTAGCCCAGGTTTTGAAAATATATATTTTATATAAAATATGAATAATAATTTTTTTTTACATTTTTAAAACAAGATCAATTATACGTCTATATTCCAAAGCATTCTTGAACCATTTAAGTTTGAAATGTGCATTTCCATGTCTATTCAAAAAAAGGGGGGTGACAGTTAATAGGTTAAAATAATCGAAACATTTAATAAAGAAGAAATATGAAATATTTCATTGACCTCCATGTCATATGACCATTAATCTACATCAAAGAACCGTAAACATGAAAATGTGTTGTTCAATTATTGATGTATTTACTCCAAAGATATTTCCAGTGAATATTCGGCTGACTTTTGCACGATCAGATTGATTCTAGACTCCATGTACTTGAATGGTTTGATCAAACAACCAGCGGCCCACGAGGAAGTTTAAAACTCAAAGATGTTTAGTCAATGAAGCCAAATATTGACTTCATTAATCAACATGAGGTTATACAAAAACCCAAGCTGAGCTGGTTTACTGAACAAACATCAACATGCATGATTTATATTTTCATGTCACGAATGAATAAGACTTTTTATAATATCTCAAATACCTAAACAGGTTAAATAATCCATGAAAGCAGTGAAGTGCTCAAAGGGAAATCTGTGGCTGCTGATCTGGCAGCAGATGTTAGTGCTGCTAGCCGTAATCAACATGATAAACTCATTTTGTGCTGCCGAGAGCAATGCGCAGATAAGACACAGTCCTTCAGGAGGCTTAAGAGAAACACGACGCTCTTGTCAAACAGGACTATTCACTGCCAGTAAGATGGTAAGTTGATTCCAAGTATGTTCACTAGGACATTCCCAATGCGACTATGACACAATGGCTTACCAGCACTTTGGGTAAGGAACGCTTTCTCTTTATAGACATCTGGTAAAACGCAATGGGTAGAATGATCAACAGCAGCAGAACCAGCAGACCGGGCAACATTAATATATGAAACCTGGAATCAGGTGCTGAAAGACACAAAGATTGCAGATGCATATAAATAGAAATTTTTAGTCTGTACATTAGGGTTTCAATTTTGTGCATGTCTCATTTTTTTGCATTATAAAATAAAATTAGAAAATTCAAAAATAGAAATAAAATAATAAAATATCAAATTAATTATTTAATACATCCATTAAAACAAACAAATAAAATAATCAAATTGCATGTTGAGTTTTAAGGGGTTCGATTATGCTGTGTTTGTATGTTTACATCATTTAATGTTCAAAATATCGAATTATATTTATTATAAACATCTGAGTGTTTTAATTTTGGTTACCCAATAGAGTTATATGTACCTTTTCTTGACTCTGTATTGTCTTATTGTGTTTTTTTGTCTTTGTGCCTTGTGTATTTATTGTGTAACTTATTGTTGTCTTGCACTTTTTCACCTTATCTTGGCCAGGACGCCGTTGTAAATGAGAATTTGTTCTCAATCGGCCTACCTGTTATATATATATATTTAAATAAAATAAAATAAAATAAATAAATTTAAAAAAAAAATAAAAAATTATAATTTTATGAAAAAAAATTAAATAATTAAAAAAATAAAAATAAAAAAAAATAAAAATTTATAATTTCCATTGTTGCAGCACCTGTTTTCACCTCCTGTCTGAATGATCTGTTTTAGTTTCAGCGGCTGTGTCCGAAATCTCCCACTACTCACTATATAGTGGACTATATAGTGAGCTCGCCATTTTGTAGTGCTGTCCGAATGTATAGTGATGATTATTATACTCTATATAGTCCACTCAATGTATCCCAGAATGCATTTTGAAAAGTAGCCTAAAAAAAACCCTACATACACATCGCGCTGATCGTAAAAATGGCGAACGGGCGACAGCAATGACGTAATTAACGGCACCGAGAGACGGCCGAGTAGTGTCCGAAAGTGGTGTTTCTATTATGCTGGTGAGCTCACTATATAGTGCTCTACTCCCTACCCCCTACATAGAGAGTAGTGGTTCACTGTAAAAAATTATTGTGATTTTAACAGTAAAAGACTGTAAAAATGCTACAGTGAAAAACTGTTCATTGGTTAACAGAAAGTTTCCTTACTATACATGTTAAATAACTGTGATATATATATAATGGTACATTTCATGTAATTTTACTGTAAAATACTGCTAAATTTACAGTTTTTGGAACTGAAAAAGAAGAAGTCATTGTATAATTTACTGTGAAAAAATGTAAATTGACTTTCCCACAATTCCCTGCGTGACACTTCACATTTAATGTATTTTAACTGTTTATTCATAATTTTCTTAGTTTTTTTCTTATCAGTTATGTTCATTAGGGTTTTATGTTACATTTAACGTTATTAAATTAATTCTTATTTCATTTTAAAATTTCAACATGTTACCAATGATGGTGTTTAATGTTTGTGTGAATGACACTGTGCAACTTCTATGTAGTAGTATGAACTCTCTTTGTGGAAAAGCTGATGATGATGATGAGCTTTGATTGATCATTTGACTCACATTATTGGCTGTCGGTGTATTGCAATTGAACCAAACAGATATAATACTTTAAAATGTCAGTAAATTACCATTATATCAAATAATGAATTACGGTTTATTGCTGTAGAATTAAGTTAAACCTAAAATGTTGTTACCGTACTTTTAACAGGAAAACTCTGGTAACCACAGCTGCCGGAGTTTTCCCGTAAATTTAACGGACTTTTTTTTTTTTTACAGTTTTTGAGAGGAGAATTCGGACACAGCCAGTTTCTTTAAAACCCACCTTCCGAAAAGCAGTCTGCTCTGATTGGTCAGTGATTGGTCAGTCTTTTGTCATTGGTACCGCTAAGAGCTTGTAATGCCATAACCGGAAAGGATCAGCTCTGGAGCCGTCCTGTGGCACTGTAAACATTACTGTCACTACACTATGCCATAGTTACAGTGTCTAATAATGACAGTCAAGAAGAACAAGCTGATCAACCCGAATCATCTTCGCAAGCACAACTTCTTTTTGCATACGCCTTGGGCGGGAGTTATTTAAATGAGTAATACTGTGACGTGTTCGTTCCGCAAGAAACTCAAGACTACAATGGAGGCGTTTCAGGAACAGTGACACTGATAAACTTTAGCTTCGCAACTTTACAGACCTTTTTCATGTTCAAAGAGCAACATTACACACCAAAGGAAAGCTGAACATGTTTAAATAGCATTATTGGACCCCTTTAAAGTAATGAAAGGAAA